ATATTGAAATAAAGAGGCTGATTAATGTTACACTAAGAGAAAGAATAACGTTAAGCAGGGAAAGATGATTATCATAAAACAGGAAAATAATTCCGAATACATGCTAGAAATAAATGCTGGTGAAAGATTAACTAGTAAAAATAGAAAATGAAAGCAGTATAAAGTACTGCCCCTTAAAGAAACCACGTAGGAAACGTCACAGAAAATTTAACCGTTTGTTTAATTTACACAATCAGATTTACTCAGGGTGCCAGGCCTAATATTCTAATACTATTTATTCCTGCTCACCAGAGGCCAAGCGGTAAAGTCGGTGAACACTAGTAGTTCGGTTCGAAGCTAGAATCCCGCGAAAGGGCTACTGGATGGAAGTGTTCGTTGTTTTCCTCATGGGCAACATCTATACGGGCGAGTTTTCCTTAGAAAGGTCTTCCACGAAGGCATCCCTTCCGTAAGGCAGATAGCTATTGAGGCTTTGCCGTAATCACATAAACCATACCAAACAATTTATTCCTAATATTTATTATTTTTCTTTTTGTTTCATTAAACATTCGATAGCAAATTAAAAGATTTTTAAAGCTATGTAACCTATTGCAATCAACGTATATGCAAGAGCACACCATGGAATCGCAGTTTTAAAATTAAAAATGAAAAAAGATGAATCAGCAGCAGCAGATCAGATTGCTTGATTATGACTTGACGGAGGACTTTTTAAGAAACGCTTTGGTCTCGGTTTGCTTTACACAGAAGAAAACCACGAAATCTCAATGTAACCAGCCCTTTCAATTACCAATTATCAGCATTTTGCGTCTATAGCCACTAGCCACTAGGCCCACCTAGTAAAGATGTAATATGTTCATTACCCTAGCTAGCTATGTGTAATTTGCTTCATGTTACACCTAGCTAATGTCCAAATATAAACATAGACAGCATTCTAATAGAAATTTCATATCACATTTTTATCGAAATGCTTTTAATGAACTTAATTTTGAATGAACTTTTAATTCAATTAATAAAGTTTTAAGGATTCGAAACAGCCTTATCTCTAACACGGAAGAAAAGCAAGCACATGATTTTTATGACATTTATGCATAAAAGAACATCGTTCTATATTGTTTATCGCATAAATTCATTTTAATTTCAAACTTGTTGAAGATCAAGTGCTAAGCCGTCATTTTGTGCAGGGACGAACATTCAGATCTCTAGACCTGAATCTATATCAGTTCTGACTATGATGCTACCTAAAATAATTGTTTTGGTTTAGTTTAAATGATTATGGCAAAGTACACTAGGCTCTCTGCCTAAGGAGAGGGGTGCCTTCGTGGAGGACTTTCAAAGGGAAACTAGCTCGTATACACGTTACGCACGGGGAAAACCACGAAAACACCCATGCCACCATCCCGTTCGCCTCGAATTGAACTACCAGCGTTTAGCGATTTTAGCGCTCAATCTCTGCTGAAGCCCTAAAATAATAGATATACAGAGATAAGATAGCGTTGCTAAATAATTAAAGAGAAGCTAAAGAGGTTCCGGATAAGAATAACACAAATTTAAAGTATTTTTGCAGCTTACTCTAAAATTCATATTTAATTAAAATTTATACCAGAATATTACTCAGTTTGTATTTTTCTGGCGTGAACTTACTACTTAGGTCCCACTGTGGCTAATCATGTGAAGATTTGCTTTAGCTCTTTTCTCGCACATGTGTGCAGTTTCTTTAAAAATTGAATTTAACAGTCGAAGCTAAATTTTCTTGAAATTATAACGACTAACGGTGTCTATCTACATAATTAACGACTGGTACGCCAATTAAAATTAAGTCAAACAGTAACCTTATTTTTGCCTAGAATTTGAACAAAACTATCGATTTCGAGGACAATCAGACACAGTTCCCCTCTTTTTCAGAAGCAAACACTTTCCGTAAAATTAGAGGAACGGCGACCGTACTTATTTCGAAAGCAAAGGCAGAGCAAACGGAACAAGAATATAGTGCCATTTGTTATGGAAAATGGCAATGAAACGTAAAAAATTAAGTTATTAGAATTCTAAAAGCGTTAGGAAGGACTGGATAGGAAATTAATATCCTTAACTAAAGAAGGTAAAGTTTTATGAATATGAGAATCTTCAATGAAATCCAGTTCACCAACTACAGAAGCATTTTTGCAGAATTACAATCAAAATGGTGATTACGTTTCCACCTATTATTAATTTAAATTTTTTTTTGCAGAACTACAATGAAAATTGTGATTAGGTTTTCATCTTATTAGCTATGAAATTTTTTTTATTTCTCCTCCGACATAAGATTCGTGCTTCATGAAGCGAAATTTTTACGCTCTTTTTGTTTCGAAGATATATATCCAAGCTACAGATTCTCCAAGAATTAAAGTCAGAAATGGAATCTTTAAAAATCGAACAAAGAATTTTGCTGATAAGTGAGAAAATGCACACAAACTTTGCAGAGACCATTAGCTATTTTACTTCGAAATATGGTTTAGGTTGGTTTGGTTTAATTCATTACGGCAAAGAACTGGTGGGCTGTCTGCGTAAGGAAAGAGATACCTTCATGGAGTACCTTTTTAAAGAAAACTGGCTCGTGTCCACGTTATGCATAGGAAAAATTACGAAAATGCCCATGAAGCCAGCTCATTCGAACTCCAGGATCGAACTACCAGTGTTCAACGACTTATTCGCTCCTCCGCTGGTGGGTCACTTCGGAAGATGAGATGTGAAAAATGTGCAATACCCTCGCCGAGACTCGAACTCCAGACTTTCCGAATTCTAGCCCGACCTGTTTCCACTTATAACACGAAGCTTTGCGGTAAGAAGGGAGAAAGTACCCCCACTTAAAAGGCGACTAGGGGAGGCGCAAAATCCTAGTAGTCACGATTCACATCCACCAAAGTTTAGTTGGACTTTCAGGCATTTTATTTCGGAGCGGCAGACGTGAAAAATACGCACTGCCTTCACCGGGACTAAATGTTGATCCTTATATTGCTAGCCGGAAATGGTTACTATTATTTCACGGAGGCACGCTCTAAAAAAGACGAAAATACCCTACAAGTTGAATCCCTACAATCTTACATCTCTTAGAAGGATGAAATGAAAACCTACACTGCTTTGTCATAAAATTTGCACAACTCTCTAGACTGAGTGAATACGTGACTAAAACAGTCATAAATGAAATTATCAACTTAAGTTAAGTGATAATAAAACTTAAATGAAATGTTACAAAATGAGTCAAATTTTAGCCTACTGTTTTTTCATCGTAGTACTTGCTTTTAATAATACATCTAAGCTTTTCGATATCTTTAGCTTGTGGAACGTTGAGAGTCCTGTTTGATTTAGACAAAAAATTAATTATGTGGTTGCTAAGATAACCGAATATATTCTTCGTATGTATTTTCACGTTCCGATATAGAAAAATGGTTCGTGTTCATCATGTTTGATAAAAAGAATCAAATTTTCTCTTATACAAAAAGAACGAGACTGGTTTAGGAACATTTCCTACTTCGTCTAAGGTGTGCCTATCATTACTTTTCTAGCGACTTTTCTTTAGGCTTTATCTTAAAGCGCGCAGGGACAAGCTGAAGAATGTTAAATGATAATACTTAGTACCACCTCTGGGATTAAGAACAAGCATAAAATGCGATTCATCATGTAGGATCAGTTTCTGCCTACTTTCGTACGCAATCTATTGCTTATAAATTTTATGGCAATTTTTTTGGCTCTCATTTCTTGCCTTTTTTTTTCTTTTCTTTTTCGTTTTGTATTTTGGAGATGTTGCTCTGGTAGAGGATTTTCAGCCTTATCTTCCTTAATATTATTAGCACTAGATTTTGGCAGCTTCAATGTTTTAAGCAACTTCACATTGTTTCGGCACAGAATTCCCTTCAACCATTTGCATGAGCTGTTGCCTCTTTTCCCCAGCTCATTCCCAAATTTCTGACTCATATTAACGCTTTCATACTCTTCATAATGTTCAAAACTTCGAGAAAAACTTCGTTTCTTTTACCATCATAATTATAAAAAAAGTGTTGTTTTGTTCTAAATAGCTTTCATTAAATGAGTTAATTAACGTAAAAAAACGGTTCTAGTATGTAACTGAAATTGTTTTGAAATGAAAGAACCATTGTTACCATGGAAACTCGAAAATTTTGCATATTTATTTTTATTGGCTCGTGTTTAAGTGATGTAATTTTCCCTTTCTTATGGAGGGAGCCGTTTTTATATCAAATATAGCTATGGAAATTACAGTGCAGTGCCCAACAGTTCTAACGACTGCTACATTCAACACTTATTTTAGTAGTATTTTGCGTTCTTTTATGTGTGAAGCCCGCGTAGATATAATTGTAATTAAAGTAACTGCCATAGTGAATTTCCGTAAGAAAAGCGGTTTTATGCATTTTTGCTTGAATTTACTGCCATGAATTGTAAATTCATTGAAATAGGAATTTATTAAGAATACTAACGTTTGGGTTCTTCTGTAGATCAACTTAAAGTGCATTCAATATAGTTGCACAGTTTTTTTTATACTAAAAATACTAAAAAAATGGTTCTGAGCTTTGAGTTCCCTGTTATTTGTGCGTCTATATTTTCTCTGTGTGTCTTTGTGCATACATACATATATATACTGATATCCAAAATTAATTTTACATGCCAAAACATAATGATATTTCACGAATTAACCTTTTCATTTCTTTATGCAATTATTAAAACGCAAACTTAATTATCATTGCGCAGTCCGATTTAATGTAATTGGTTTTATTTTCCAGCTTAACCCTGTGTTATTGATTTTTACATCATGTCCTCAAACACGTATTTAAAAACGCATACAAACTACGAGATTTATCCCAAACACGCGGAGAAGAAAGTTAATTACTGTTAAACTTTTGAATGATTTGCATGCGTAAAATTGGTTTCTAATTAATTGTGTTTAAAGTTTTCTGAGATAAAGAAAAATACCCAAATTATTTTTTAATTTCGTATTTATTTATTTATTTCAGCTCAGTTGAAAATAGCCTTGGACCAATACGTCAGACAGCATTTTTCTAATGTTCGAGTAGTTAGGGCAAATAAAAGGGAAGGCCTAATACGAGCCAGACTTCTTGGCGCCAAAGCGGCTAAAGGCGACATTCTTGTGTTCTTAGATTCTCACACAGAAGCCAACGTCGACTGGTTGCCGCCGTTGCTTGGTAGGTATACAAATTTCTAATTCAATACTCATTAGGTAATGCAAATACAGCTAACTGGATTCTAATTATGCAAATACGGTAATCTGATTTTTACGCAAAGTTTGATGATGATGTGCACTTTTGAAAAAGTACGGGACTGTGAGAATTTAGCCTGTTTAAATACGAATTTCTCTGCCCTACACTAAAACAAATCTATTTTCATGTATCAAACTAATCAATGAAGCAATTTATATTTAAACGAATGAAACTTTCTAATATGCGATGCTGAGGAAAAATTATTTGAACACAACATGCACATTTTTTGTTTGTTCCTTTCGTTTTTAACTTTAGAATTGTTTGCACTATTATAAATAATAGGCTTTAAAGAATTTTCAAGCTTTAAAATAATGTACTCATACAGTGCATATGCATTTAGAAATTAGATCATTGAGTTTGATATTTGTATGAAGTTTATTAGGATTTTTCATTTCAAATCATAAATTATGCATTTTTATTAATATGCAAAAAAAAAATTATAATCGTTTCGGAACACATGGAACTTAATACATTAAGTAAAAAAGAAAAAAATCAAAAAAAAAAAAAAATAAATAAATAAATAAAAATAAATAAATAAATAAAGCAAAAAATCAATGCATCAAAGACTGCAAGAATAAAACACAAAATTTCAAAATTAAAACAAAGTGTTATATACCTCGTAGCATCTCTTCAGTGGGTTGATGTCCCAAGATAATATAATAGTGCATCCATGTTTCCAAACTACATATTGACTGCCAAAAATTAATTAAAACCTATAAATTCCTACGGTTTTGCACATAAAGTGGCCAGTGTTATTTATTCTTTAGTGTAGTTTTTGAGCATAAAGTACCTTATAGCATTAGTTCGTTAATATATGTCCATTGGGTAATATTTGAACACTAAACACAGTCCAACCAAAATTGATTAGCTAACAAATTTAAACAATAAATTACATCACAAGGTAAATATATAAATTAATTAAATGCAGTAAAGCAATCAAAAAAAGGAATCTAGTTATAAAAAACGGACCCTAAAATTTGTAATTACCCTAGATTTCAGTGTCCGGAGTCATGTCATTGTGTGTTTGTGTGTTTCTATTTTTTTATTTGTTTATTTTCTTATGATTTGTTAAATCAGATTCTTGTCCTGTTTCATTTTTTAAATTTTCCTCCCCCCTTTTTTTGTTTTGATTTGATATATCGAATTCCAGCTGTCTCTGAAAGATTACAACTACCCCCTTTTTTGTATTATTCTTACTACACTTGCTGCAGCGTTTAACGAGTTATTTAGTTCCCGGATTTGTGTGAATTTTTTTCATTTACTGCTATTTTAATGCTTATTAGCAATACATAGTACCTTTCAACATGTATATAAGGCAATGGGTTTTAAACCTCCAACATAAGCAATACAGAAACTTCTATGAAATATATGATTGGGCAGTCTCTTAAAGTGTATTTTGTGTCATTTAGCGAAATAACAGAAATTTTTAAATGCATTGAATTACAGGCTTTTGACGGTAAAATGAAAACAAATTGATAAGCACTAACAGTCATTAAGTTATTCAGTGAAACTACAAACATACTTTAAAGGAGAGTAAAGAACCCTTTTGGTTATCATACGAGCGCTACGTTACGTATTCGAGAGAATATAAAATTTGAGAATATATAGTAATAGCAACTGGAGTAGTAGTCAAGAACGGTAGGAGGTTGTCACCTCTTATGCAAGTTTAGTAAGGATTTGGTAAAACTGGATTACACAAAAATATAGAAAAATGGGAAAATATTTATATTTATTCTTCTTGAAACAATTTTGATATATATAAATTTATCCAGTTAGTTTTCTAAGATTTCAGAATAGTTACTTTTGAAAAGCTGATGTTCATTTAAATAAAACACAGGGTAATTCAAGAAACATTCGGTGAACATTAAAAAAAAATGTGTTTCAATGACCATACTAAAATGTACTGTATTAAACCAAAAAATTCATATAATTATGGAGGAAAAAAAGATTGTTTTAGTTTAATCATAACAAAGCTTGGTTCGGTTATGCGCTTGTGAACAAGGATGTTTTCGAGGAGAAAGTTCTGAGATAAACTATACTGGACTTCATATATGCGTAAAACTACAGAAACATTAAACACTACGGAACAGAAATGGATGAAAACCCAAGGAAAAATACCGGTGTTTCGTGACCTAGCACCTCAGTCACTCGTTGAAAGGTTAAACAATTTATTTCAATTTTTTTTTTTTTTTTTTTTTTTTTTACAGTCACAACCAGTTATTTGAATTTAATCTTAACAATGAATATCATCTGAGAACACCAGAATCACTTAACTGATGAAGATAAACTAAGAATTTAGTTCACAGCAGGATAGTAATTACCAAATTAGTGAACTCTATCAACATTTTCAACAAAAGTCATCCTAATATTTCACAAATGAGCGAGGTGAAGAAAGTATCTAAAACACTCCAGAACTCAGGAACATGCATTTATGTACCCATGGCTGTACATAACAAGTGCGTTTTTGTATATCTACTGTTAATGAATTAATATATGTATCCCAACCTAGGTAGCATGCATTCGTAAATTGCACGAGAAAAATACGTGCAATTTACGAATGGCCTTTCGTATTTCAAGTTGAACGTAAAAATATTATGAAAAGTGTCCAGGAAAAAATAGTAAATATTTACGTATATTTTTGTGTTATAATATAAGTAAGTTTTACGTAAAATTTAGGTATATTTATGCGAAAGACTGCGGTTCCTTCGTAACTTTTACGTATAATATACGTAAATTTCAGGGATTTACGTATTTAGTACAAATTTACGTATATTTATCGCATATACGTAAAATTTTCCAATTTGTTGCTTCACATATGCGTATACGTTAAGCAAAAATTAACGTAAATCTTCCCGATTTTTTACTGTATATAACGTATATATTTGATAATTCACGTAGATATTCCCCGTATTTTACGATACAAAAACGTATATATTTGATAGTAATTTACCTAAATCTCCCCTGTGTTTTCTTTGCATATGCGAATGACTTTGGTAAACATTTAGTTCGATGTCTTCTCGTCTTTCTCGTCTGCTGGGCCAACCAGCAGCCGAGCGGTAAAGTCGCTGAACACTGCTAGTTCGGTCCGAGGTTCGAATCTCGCGCACGGGCTGGCTGCATGGGTGTTTCTAGTGTGCTTTGCCATAATTAAATTAAATACACACATGTTATGATTAAAAGTGAAAATGGCATTTTTATATCAAATTTTTACATATCCGCCTTTTAAGTATGTACAGCAAAATGGAATATATATTTAACTGGAAAATTTAAATGCACTAGTAAATGAAAAAATAAATTCTATTCAAAACTTAAGTTACATTTAAAGGCTGAAAATCACTTTTAATATTTTATATTTCATTTCAAAGTAACTAAAAATTATGCAGTAAATTTCGTAAACATGAATTCTATGTTTTAAATGAATTAATGCTACTGTTCATTTACATAAGAAAATATCCTTTAGTAGAACAAATTATTTATTTAAAGTGTTATTTAGCAATTAATGAATTTAGTAAATAACTGTAGCAAACGCAGTTGTTTACTAAATTACAATACACTTAATCACCGAATTCTTAAATGAATGTAACACAAAACAAAATATCATACATTTAGCTTATTTTAATGAGGACGCATGAGGAAAATATTATATTTTAATGAGCATGCTAAATTTTAAAATTGTTAAATATAGACCAGGAGAGCTATTATAGAAAACTTACCTTTTCCTATAGTTACGAAGCTGATTTTTTTGCTTACTTGCCTTGAAGGTGAATGTTTAATGTCCCAAATATTGCATTTATATCTTCAGATAACACGCAAATATATATATATTCATTTGTTAAAATTAAGTCTATCAAAAACATGTTAAACAAAATATTATTAATTAGCATCTGTAAGTTAATCGAGTAACTTCTGTTTTAAAAATTTTCGGCATACAGTTACAGACATAATTATGATATGTAGAAATTTTACCTTTAACCGTCAATCTTGCAATGCATTGTAATCTATTATTGTTATCATTCTCAGTTTTAAATCTTATAAATATATTAGATCAGTGCCAAAAGTTCACTGCTTTATCGAAGTATTTTTAAAATGTTCCTTTTTTTTTACAATGTAACTGATAATTTCCTAAACAAATTATAATTTCATAAAATTATCCAAATTCAAAATTATCTAAATATGTTCTTGATTTTATTTTATATACAATATGGAATTTAAAAAAATTAATTTGTTTAGGAATAATTTGATGTTAAAATTTATGTCATGTGACTTTTCTCCAACATAAATGTACATGTTGATGTGAACAACTAATATAATTCAAAATCAAACAACAAAATCAGCGTTATATTTCAATTTTCACACTAGTTTCGATGTTTTACCGAACCACCATCCTCAGCTGCAAAACTGCAAATGACAGATAGGAATAATGATTAGATTCCATTATTTTGATAGCATAATTTTGTTCAATACATTTCAACATGACTGACTGATGGCAGGTTATTACCGGCAATGCAGTCCTGTGAACTGCGTATCCGGCCTATAAACTAGCCATAATGGCTACATCACGATAAGTCATCGTCACGTAAAACATACTAGGAAGTGGCAAAAGAGGGGACCAGCTCTTCGGTCAGGAGAGCAAGGATCATGGACAGAGGTAGAGACGTTGTCATATAATGCATACAAACTCTCTTCAAATATACGAATTATCCAGTGGGGAAGTTTGAGTTGATAGAGGTGGGCCGCGAAGGACGTAGGTCCTTATCCTCCATTAATATGACGTAGTTGAGAGTCTGGAAAATATTCATGTGATCACACTTACGTGCCTTATCATAAAAGTGCCTATTAAGTTCGCGTATGTGCTCCTCAAGTGTATCCAGCCGCAAGTCATGGTGAAGAGTTAAGTTACTAACATACATATGCGCGTTAGTAAT